TTTTGTTCCCATTTTTTCATTCTTTTTTTGATGCACACATGCCACACCACATACTCCGGCATACAGTGGCTGTTGTTAACCACCCAGGAGAATGAAAGAAGAGCTAGGAGAATGAGAAAGAGAAGAAAGACGCGTGCGGACATAATCGTCCGGAATTGAACCCGCAACCTCTCGATTGGAAATCGACTGCACATACCACTGCACCATATGTGACACACCTGGTCCAGGTCCTGGTGAACACTGCCATTACGGTCACGTGTCCCCTTGCGGGTCCGACAACATGGAACGACGAGCAATGGCAGAAAGCCGGCAGTTTGCCGAGAGGTCAGGGACCATGTTCAATTGGCACCACGAGAGAGCCATCTCCAACACACACACACACACACACACACACACCTTTTGACCTTTTGACGCCCATCGCCAGAGGCGATGATAGCGATGCTACAGCAGAAGCCATAGCAACTTGTGCTGGGATTGCACCACACACACACACACACACACACACGCGCGCACACACACAAGAGTCTTGCTTGGGCTTGCATTGGTATTTTTCTGGTAAGTTTCATGCATGTTTGGTATGTGGATATAGAAATGGAGCAGAATCCAAGGAATGGCCTGCAATACGGGCTGGTGTGTGTGTGGCTCTGCCAATTTGGGTACTACATGTATTACAACAGTCTACAAGTTATTTTTACCACCGAGTTAGATAAACTTACACGCACTCATAAACACTTACGGCATACCTGGTACAGTGTAGTGCCGTCCAATCACGGAGTCGCACACAACTCCATCATGGCCCACGACTCCCGTGTCCGATGCAACATTGGCAACCATGCCCATGACCAACGCTACAGGTAGGTGGTTTTTAGAAACTTCTCTGCAGAACTCGAGACTCGAGTGCATTGTAGACCTAGATGCAATACTGAATAGCCAAGTAAGTTAGGGGTTAGCGGAGGGCTAGGGCGGTGGGGGGATTGTCTAGGAACTTGGAAATCATCATTAGGGTTGTGGTTCTCCTCTCCTCTCTCCTGACACAATCTTTCGCTTCAGTACAACAAAACAAGAGTCAGATCGTTTGAAGACCTACTCAGTATCCTAATTTTCACACAATACGGTAAATGGGCCGTCATCTTTCCTCCTGTTGATGCCCCTCCCCCGTGATACTGATAGGTGCTATTCTATACTATGAATCGTATGATACAGTAGGTGAAAAGTGATAACAGGGATTACACTGCTCCCTGTTAAAATAGCACTCTGTGTTTCACAAGTACACTCGGAAGCATTGCAGGTGCCGAGCTGTGTAGTGTAGACCTACCGTTTGTTTTGATGCGAAATGATCACCGTATGTTCATACCGGTAATCAAAGAGGAAGATTTACCGGCCGTAGATCTACGATCGACATCACTGGTGCAGGTGGATGTTGTTGATTGGTCACCGTGTCTCGGTTTTCTTTTGTTTCCCCGGGCCTATTTGAAGTTTTTCGGAGCAGCTGGCTCTACTGTTTTGGTGGATAATTTAGCACGAATCTGAAAATCTGGTGCAGGTAGATGTGAGAATGTCCAGCGAGCAGGCTGGTGCAAAGAGACCTCACGACGACCCCAGGTCTGGGTCATGAAGAACTGCCAGTGTCTGACACTGACAAAGTGCAGCGCGCGAGTGTGTGTATGTATGCGTGTGTGCGCGCGCGTGCGTGTCTGCAGTTCTGTCTTGACATGATGGTACGGCGTTAACGCGTTAGTGCACCGGTTGATGATCGACATGTACATCATTGCTGAATGCTGAGGCTCGCGGTAGGCTTCACGCCGCATTCGATCATGTACAGATCTACAACGACGTTACGTGGCCGTTGAAGCTAAACAAAAGGACGATGTGAGTAACTAGCGCTAATAACGGGGTACATGTACTTACAGACTTACAGTGTAGGTCATGATTTACTTGACACCAGTGCACCAGGTAACATGGCTTTAACCCAGGCTGTTCACTTATCACGTAAGCACCATTTGCATGATTTCTTCAACTCGCATAGCCTGACTTGTGAACTTTTCTGAGCCACAGACCGCTACAACTCCAAACTCCATTGTACTGAGCAGTCAGGCACCTTCCAAGCTCACGCACCAAACATTCGCAGGCCAATGGAGTCTGTTCCTCCCTAAAGATCACGTCTTTCGGGGTTGCGTCTCTTCATTATAACGCGGTCACTTGTGGTTTTAGGCAAGTTCTTGCCACCTGCCTCAAAGACAAAGCGTTGTCTGCCTGTGCTGCGGGCACGGATGTCATGGCTTCCGTGATGACAAAAGAAGCGTCTTGATGCACTGCTGTTGTCTTCCTAGCGGAGCAGTGTACTGTACTGCACTGTGAGTGCGGTTCTAGCGCCTTCACTTGACCAGCCATTGTGGCCGGAGATTGGCCCCTTCCTTCCACTCCGTGACGTCTATAGTATCGTTCAGATTCCCCAAGTTATGCCAACAATGCATGACCAATACGCGTTACTGGATATGTCAGCGAATCAAGCCATTCGATTTGCCAGATCTAGAATCAGCCAGTGCCGTACTAGTAGCGCCTGTGCCGCGGTGCGTGCCTGCGTACACTGTATGATTAGCTACTGATCAACAAGGAATGCTTGTACATGTACATGACTGTGTATTACAATGAGCTGTGCGCTGAATGGCGTCTGGACCGGGGTATACTGTGCGGTACTATATCTGCCACGTTGATTGCAGCCCCGCTTTCACGTGTGTCGGAGGTAACATCACCACAAGACAACACTGTACGCTTCTCAAGTGTCTGGCGCCCTTTCCGCGACACTTGTCCTGTGAGAATAGACTGAGCTGAGCCTGAGTGAGGCATGTTGGCAGGCTCCCAGCAGACCCCCCTTGCAAGGACTCCCGGTCTCCCAATGCCCATCCAAACAAGCCACTATGTCACTGAAACGAGACAAGTAAAAGGAATGCGATGAGATGACAACGTTACGACAACACCTACACGCACACACACACACGCGCGCACACACACGCACACACACACGTACACACACACACAGACCTAACCCAGACTGGGCCAAAGAGAGAGAAAAACTGAATCGAAAATGTTACTCGGTAACACGGTACTAAAACCTGTGCAGTGCAGCACAAGCCCAATGATCATAATGATGATTCGTTCCTTAGTCCCCGTAGACAGTCAGTGCTCCCAGTGCTGCCTAGCCCCGAGGCCTGCCTTCATCTTGACAAACAGATTGACCATTGTACGCTCTCATCTGTGCACTTTTGACACTATCAACGAAGAAATTCAAAAAGCTGAAGGTGCAATCGTCGAGTTCCGTATTCGCCGCGACGTCACCCAATCGATGCGAACCAGGCTAGAAGATAAAAATCACGTCAAAGCTAGTGAACGCCCTTGTGGTGTAGCGGTTTGTCCAGTGTTTTCCTCCCAAAGCTACTGGTTGCGGGCTCCAGCTCCCTGCGATCAGGGCTGTGCCCGTGTAAAAAACGCTTATACTGTTGCAGCGTTGGCTTAACTACTACTTACGATCGTAGTATTTGCTTTTAAAAATAAAGCCTCGCCTTTGTGACACCTAAAATGTCGACAGGACGTGACCGCACGGCCGACGTTCTGTGTCGGTGACGGTATTCAGTATTCACGCAATCCTCGGCACTATGTGTGTGTGTGTGTCTGCATGGACCGAGCTGCTACAAATCACTTCCGAGACACATGTCACTACTTCGTGTCGCTCCCGACCTTCCGAGGAAACTTCTTGTTCTTATACTTTACGGCAAGAGGATGCTGTTACGCTCAGTGCAAAGCTAACCGACATCCAGTTTCTAATCTTCGCTACAAATTCTTTGTGCCTTCTTAGGTTTCGTGAGTTTCGCGCCTTGCTGCATGGCTCGCCGACACACAACACCTGCAATATTATGATCGTACACTGGCTATAGCGGTATTGCGAGAACGAGGCGAATGAAATACCGCAAGCATCAACAATTCCCCGTGCCGTCGTCGTCCTTCATCCTTCACACCACTGATCGCTCCCGAGTCACGGAACAGGCCGTGAACAGGCACTACCGGCTTAGCACAGCCTGTACAAGCTTTCACGGCCCTCACCTCCTAATACTAATAGTAATAACCTATTGGCAGTATTGCACTGACTGTGTGTGGGGGGGGGGCAGTAGATCTACGTACTGGTCCCTGTATTTCGAGTAGTCGGAGTACTATAGAGCAGCAGGCGCTGGACATGCGAGAAGAGACTAGTCTGTGGTGGTGCTGACTGACCAGGAATGCGGCCATGCATCTAGCTCATCTTGTTCACCAAGAAACCGGCCGACAAGCTCCAGCGCGAACTACATCAAGATTTACAAGCTTACTGCAGTGCGTTGGAGGTGGCCGTTCTGAAGAGCGAACCGGAAACTGGTCTTCCATCTCAGCCTGTGGCAGTCTTTGTGCTCTCTATGTGCCTATTGTGTGTGGCTTGATGAAGCCCAGCGCGAACACGCATCTCCTTCATACTGCGCCTGGAGACCTTGGGCGACTTCTACTTTCGTTTCTCTCTGACGTCACTCTGCTGCCAGCAGACTTCCGTTGCATAGTATTGCGGTTGACAGAGGATCACACTCTCTTCATCGCGGGCCTACGCTCTACGCAAGCACACGTACCACACACACGCACATGCAAATGCACACACACGGAGAGAACAGACGGACGCGATGCCCGCTGTACCGCGGCTTGCCAGTGGGAATACCAAGTAGACGAAGTACACTCGGTCCAACCTTCTCTCCCACGCACTGCTGGGTCCACTCCCTGCACTCGCAGAGGTCGCTAGATGCCTGCAAACAGCGGCCGTGCATGAAACCAGCCAGTTCATAATATCGGTCTGGCACAGACTACCTGGCAGCGCAAGCTAGCGTGCCGTAACATAGTGGCGGGCGAGTGTAGACCTACCGAGCGGACGCTTTGCCCATGTAGTCTGGTGTTACTGAAAGCACGCGCCCAGCGCCTGTCCTCATCACACCTAGCTAACAATAGTAACAGCAACAGGCCTAGATTTTATCAGCTCGACCGCCACTCTCTTGTAGGTCGTCTCAACTTTTGCGCGCCATAATTGTGTGTGCATACGTGCAGTTCGCCGTTCAGTGGTGCAGTTCGTGCTTTGTTCTCGCTGCTTGCGGAGCAGAACGCCAGCTCTGGAAAGGAAGAAAGGAGTGTTCCTTCCGCCAAAAGAAGGGTGCCGTTTCCTCCGCCCGTTGTCTTCCCAGTGTAGTGTGAAGTGTTCGTTTGCAGTTTGGTGGTCTTCTTAGGCAAGGATGAGAGAAGTGATCGTATCAATGCTGAGCATCCCCAGACGTCACCATTGGCCCTGGTGGGTTTTGGTGCGCTGGACTGTTTTGCTGCTGGTCGTGGTGTTCGCCGACGCTCAGCGAGGTCGCTGCTATGCCTCTCGAGCCGCTCTCGGCCCACATTCACCGCACTGGCATTCTGACTCGGACTTTATTCCCGACCAAAGCAGTGCCATGTCGGCGGTGCGCGGACACCATGACACAGGCCATGCAATGTCCGAACAGAGTTTGCATTCTGCTGATAGCTCGGCGCTGGCCAGGACCCGGCGCAATCCGTGGCAGCAGACTGAGGTTTGGTTTATCAATCTGGTGGAGCGTGGGAACGTCAGTATGGAACTGAAAGGGCAGTTTGTGGACCTTCGCTACATACGACTGGGCTTCGGAGACACGCGAAAGAACCGGGCATCCGTGACCATCAATGATCGGGTACACGTTGCGGAATATTACAAGGGTAAGTTGTTAGTTGTCGACACCCAGCATTCTCTGTGTGACTCTCTTGTTTGTTTTGTGGTGGTCTGCTCGGTCGCGTATCGTGTCGTCCGTTACGCCTTCTTTTGTCTTCGTGTCGACTGTCTGGTGTCACTGCTGTCATTTGTTACGGCTTCGTGTTATCACTTACGATGTTATTATGTTGCGGGGTATACTGGGTACGGGTATACTGGGTACGGGTATACTGGGTATACTGGGTACGGGTGTACTGGGTACGGGTGTACTGGGTAGATCTACGGGTGTACTGGGTACGGGTGTCAACCTCAGCGGGCCTTCACTAGACCATGGAGTGTTGCACATTCGAGGTGTGCAGATACCGGTCACAATCGCCAGGAGATTAGCTTAGTCGTGTAGATCTACATGTAGCGAGTCAATAGTCAGAAAGGGTCGTAGGGTGGTTACGTGTAGTGGGCTAGCTACGGCCACCGACGGGTCTGCTAAGGCGTATGTTTGTCTGGCCTTCTTCAAGTTCAACAAAATTCATAATGGCTTATTGTGCAGTGTTGGGTGTTATTCCGGGTGTTAGCGGCTGTCTTTAGTTTCACTCGGGAACGGAGACGAAATTTTGCTTTTTGCCTGTTCGTCAACTGGCCATTAGCACAAGTAATCCAGCATGCTGCAGATCCGGTTGGATGATCACATTCGTGCTAGACTGCAATGTCGTTCACTATCATTCGAATTTTGAGCTCATTCTACTTCAACCTGCACCACTGTGGTCTCCGGGATGTATTGTAGCGAAGGGTATCATCATTCGCGACATAGATGCCATTGTCCTTATCCTGTCCAGCAAGGGTAACTCGCGTCCCTAAAGGTTTGTCTTGATGGTCGGCGAGTTGGTTCGTGTAAAGTGGCACGAAGTCATTGTCGTTGCGGCTACCATCGCACAGGTTGTGATGGCGAGGAACCCGAATACACTGTTTCATGTTTGTGACCGCGAGTATCCGACCAATGCCAAGGCACGTTGCATGGTACATCATCCACAGTGGGGGTAGAGAGTGGAATAACACTGCTCATTCGTCATATTTCTCCGATGCCCCATTTCCTTGCAAGTGCGATGAATTGCAGTTTCCTGCGCGGAGGAGTCAGCGTCCTTGTTCGTTCGTTAGCACCACCGAGTTAGAGGCCACCATTGGGTAGCAGCGCCTCCGGGCTGAACACCTTTACTAGTATCCTGGTAGACTGCCAATCAGGGTGGTCAGGGCTGTGGACGGCGGTGCAGTATGCCAGCCGCTCAAGCTGCACGAGATTGTACCGAGCGTGGGCAGACTCGAGGTGGATTGTGGCGTGAGTGTGGCCTCTCTTTAGCACGGAAAACCTGGCACCGTGACGGACGGACTTGGAGCGCGTGTCAAAACTTGCTCCCCCATTCGCTCCATGTGGTCACCAGCTGGAACAGTGGAAGCGACAGCAGTGCATTATGTAGCCAACAGCGCAGGACAAAGGAACTTTCTTTGGCTAGTTGTGAGCGAAGTGCAGCGCTCGTTCTACAAGTAATTAGTTTTAACCCAGTATGGTCATGGAGCCTCGGCACAAACATGCTTTGCAGAAAGGTGTGAATTAGACCAAGCGAAACAGCATGTTAATTCATTGCAACGACATATCTTCTCAATGCATTGGTTGTTGGCAGTGATCATGTACAATATTGTATTGATAGGTTGATTAGCAGCAGCAGCAGCAGCAGCAGCACTGAAGTAGTGACACAGGCACATACACATACACGCACTGACACACACACACACACATGCATGCACACACACACACGCACGCACACACGCACACAGAGTACTTCCTGCTAAAGCCAGCAAGGGCAGGGGCATGAAGGAACGCAGAAGAAGACCGTTTTCATCTGAACTAGGGAGAACGTGCGTTTGGCGCACCAACTAGAATGCAATCTGGTACATTAAGTTGAGTCAAATGCTTTGGTCAAGTTGGCACGAGGTGACAAGCAAGACTGCACGTACTGCCTTGAAGAACAACTGCCAAGGTGTCTTGTTTCAGGGAAGGGGCTGTCAGGAGATGAGCGTGTGATAGCCGCATTGTAATCCCATTGTGAGATTAGCAATGGCAGGGGCTTCAGTGTCCATTGTGTTCTTGTCCAAGTCTCTGTGGCACGGGCGCACGGAATCAAAGGTGTACCGACGCTGAAAAGACACTGGGAGTCTGCAGGTCAATGATTAGTAGTAGTCTTAACGATGATCGTTTCCAGAGACCGCAGGCCTCTCATGTCAAACACAACGTACAAGGTACCAGTTTGACAATGCTGGATGTGTTCACGATGAGCATCCTCTCACCACAGCCAAACTGAGTTCTTGCCTGGCTGATTAGGTGGGTGTATGCTTGTAGAAACCGTGCCTCCGTGCCTCTGTGACTGTGTGTGTGTGTGTGTGTGTGTGTGTGCCTTGGAGAGAGCTACACCTGCAGCAAAGTGGTGGGCTGAGGCTTGATGATGTACTCGTATTAGAGGGGTATGGCTTCATAGACCGTGAACGTGATACATTGTTAGACGGTGCACGGCAAACACAGCCTTAAAGTGGACTGGTACACTGTATCAACTTTGTCTTGTGGTATATTTAGAGATTTTCGAGATCAGTACCAGCAGTACATGTAGCTTCACTCACACTCCTCAGTGCATGTTAGCATGCTGTGTTGTCAGAATGGTCTTTTTAAGTGGGGAAACAGCATACTCAACACGGGTATGCAGGAAGTGTACCGCGGTGTTCAGTGAAAATCCAGTACTGTAGATCATAAATTCCTAGCAATTACTTTGTAGCCGGGATAGATCTACTGTGTACTAGTCTATGGGAGGTAAGATGATCTTGATAGCATGAAGGCTGTGCAATGTGCAGATCCTTCTATTATAAAGTACAAAACATATTGACTGTCCATGTACTACAGTTGCGCTCGGTGAAATCACTGTAGACAAAGTGGTGAAATCACTGTAGACAAAGTGGTGAAATCACTGTAGACAAAGTGGTGAAATCACTGTAGACAAAGTGGTGAAATCACTGTAGACAAAGTGGTGAAATCACTGTAGACAAAGTGGTGAAATCACTGTAGACAAAGTGGTGAAATCACTGTAGACAAAGTGGTGAAATCACTGTAGACAAAGTGGTGAAATCACTGTAGACAAAGTGGTGAAATCACTGTAGACAAAGTGGTGAAATCACTGTAGACAAAGTGGTGAAATCACTGTAGACAAAGTGGTGAAATCACTGTAGACAAAGTGGTGAAATCACTGTAGACAAAGTGGTGAAATCACTGTAGACAAAGTGGTGAAATCACTGTAGACAAAGTGGTGAAATCACTGTAGACAAAGTGGTGAAATCACTGTAGACAAAGTGGTCGCATACAGGTGAAGAGCGATAGCCAATGGCTTCAGGTGGAGACCAACTTACCCCGCACCCCAGCGGCGAATCAGATCCGAAGAATCCCTTGGAGAACTGGCCTTTCCAAGGTCGGTTAGAACGATAGTGATGATGTGTAAGCCTAATGGGATCCTCATTTTCTTGGTCCTGTTTGTGTATGTGTGTGTGTGTGTGTGTGTGTGTGTGTGTGTGTGTGTGTGTGTGTGCGCGTGTGTCCCTTGGTTTTGCATACAGGGCAAGTGGTGGAGAATAAAACGCGTCACGTCAACAGTGACTATCCCGTGATACCGGCAAATAGCATATGGTTCGTAGTATCGTACATTCACCAGACAATGGATGAATCACAGATCAGGCACGGTAGCCTGGCTGTTGTTACGCTTGTCCAAGACCTGGAGCACATATTCCAGAATGCGGGTTCAACAGTTAATATAGACCGTGCACATCAATCGAATCTATTTGTCTTCAGCACATTCATGACGACAGTGAATGTGAATGTGGACAGTGGAATTGGTAAGTTATCAGTGGAGAACTACTGTAAGTTCCCTGCCCATGCGCCGCTTATAATAATAACAACCGAAGACGATATGTTTGTGATAGCATCTGGACAAAGAAGGACGCAAAAGTTCTAACGAAAAAGTGTTCATAGTTCCGAAAAACGGTGACTGACTTTGACTTTGCGCCGGTACTGACCTGCATGGTTGGCCGTGTACAGTGTACCCTGTTTGGCAATATACAGTGTAACCAAGAGTGCATAATCCCCCAGAGTGTGCACCGCCTGATCCAGCTCTGTATAGGGTCCTGGTTGAGCGTAATCGGATCTTTGCGTCATAATACCGTACACATCTGAGGGGAACCCGGGGAATTGCGGGTACTCTCAGATCAAAAAACGGTGCCCTGCCTCGAGACCGGTCTTGCGCTGGTGTGGAGTGTACGCATGACATCAGAAGATCCGATTGCGCTCGACCAAGACCCTATGCAGAGCTGGATCGGCGTTGCACACTCTGGGGGTTGTGTACTCTTGGTGTAACCTGTCTGGCCATAATTATGTTCTTACACTTTTCACTCCTCGTGCTGTCTCATCATCCCGCACTGTTAGAATTACCCATTCTCAGGAATCGCTCGGCCTGGTACTGCCCCTTGCCAGATTGTATTTTGGCTATCACTCTGTATCTTAACTTGGAGCTGACTGATGGAACTCCCTCCCTGCCGCGATTCGCACCATATCCCTACCTGCTGCATTTCGCTCCGCTATCTTCACGTGGCTAGGGCACCCTGTAAGAAGACCATAGGTCTGTGGGGACTGCCCTAGTAAAATATGAATAAATAATAATAATAATACTTGAGTAATAATAATAATACACCTGGGGTGATATCCCTCACATACTTCCATGCATGTATGCATCGCCCTGTATCTGTGTCCAGTTTAGCCAAAACTGAATACTAGTAGCTGATACAATGACTATGTATCATGTACAGTATTATGTACCAGCATACGCATATGGTTTCCAGTAGTACACTTGCGAAAATTAGGGGGTTCCGCGGAACCCCCGCACCCCCCCCCCCCCCCTAAATCTGTACCTGAGTGATTTCCATGGCCCATTGGGCGTAGCAGTAGGATAAGAGTAAGGCTGGTCAAAAATATTTGCTCGTGTACATGGTTAATTAAAACTTAAAAGCATGCAGGCAAGTGGCAATGATGTAAGAGGAACTCTTGTCAACGATATCTCTTTGGAGCTGTGTGCACTGTCAACTGGTCTGCGACACAAACCTGTTTGCTTGATACCTCAATTATTGGATGAGTCTTTCCTTGTTGATCACCGGTGTGTGCCCATATGTAGATATCTGGGGTTTGCGTCGAGATGTGGACGAAAACGGGATAACGACGTTCAAAATAGTGCGACTCCTCAACGGATTAGTACGCCATGATGCTGTTGCCCAAATTGTCGACGCTGGAGTGTATGAAATCAAGGTGAGCTGATATGTAACCTGACTCGGTGATCAAGAATAGACCGTGATTACAAACTTCCGTTTCGTGAAGGATGTCAGTAGCTTCGGGCAGAGTGTACACATCGCTACGGTTACACTATTGCTCTTCATTGTTCTAGGTTCTTGAGCTTCGCATGTCGTTGTTCCACCTTGCATGGCTTCCGGTGGGTGTAGTGTAGTTAGGCCTTGGCGGATAATGCTCGAAAAGGGGGGCGGATCAACGGTACTTTACGGGAGATGCACCGCACACAGCAGTTCCAATGTACATGTACTCCGAAGTATTACTAGTAGTTCCTGGTGTCAATGGTGCAAAGAAAGTACAGCCGTTAGCATGCAGGGAAGAGCCAAGCCCTGGATGGATGGCTTCCCAGTGCCACTGTTAGCGGGGAGTGCTCTACCTTGATCTGCTCGGTATTGGCATACAGGTTAAGCAAACGATGAGAGCACAGATTTCATTCCTGCTTGGGCTGTGTGCAGGTGTACCTCCACAATACCATCGAAAAGCAAAAACCCTTCCGTCTGACCCACTTCAAGAACATCCCATCGCTTATCCCGGATACTCATCGCTACATTGAACTGAAACCCAGGCAGCGAACGACGCTCATCATTGGAGGACAACTAGATAGTGAGTACAGTCCAGAGGCACACATGCACCATACCAAGAGTAGATAAACAAGAGTGTGCAACTCGCGGATGGGTTGGCCCACGGCGGAATTTTTTGTTGACGTAATCTTTTCGACGACGCACGCGCTGCGAGCCTTTGAGAGGTTTCCCTCGTGCACTTGGCCGGGCTTTACACCACATATACATGGTCTGTGCCCAGCACGTACGTGCTCTCACACTGCTCTGCGGCAAAGTCCGCGTTTCTCTGAAAAAAGGTGACGTCAACAAAAAATTCCGCCGTGGGCGGGGATATCTGCAGATTGTGCAGGAGAGATCCGGAGTTGCACACTCTTGTTTATCTACTCTTGACCATACCGAGAGTGTGCCACCCCCACAGGAGCCGCGGGTGGTGGCAGACCTCAAGTAGAGGTCTAAATTGTTTCTCTTACTCTCGTACTCTCTTTCTCTCTTACTTACGCTCTTACTTACTCTCTTACTTACGCTCTTACTTACTCTCTTAGGGCGCGTTTGGTTGATACGAACTAGAACAGGATTCACCAGAACAGCGCGTTTGGTTGGGACTGCACCTGTTCTGGGTCGGCCAGAACATGTTCTTCTTGCTCCGGCCTCGAGGCCGGAGCAGACCGAGCAGTTTCACTTTTTCACAGTGAAACCTGGCGGGAACATCGATTTTGGTCCCAGATGATCACGTGCATACGCTTTTGGGTTGGATTCGTCGTACCGTACAAAGTGACCATGGTGACCCATACACATTTTGAAGAATGCACCAAGTTTGGCATATTATCCACAAAAATGTGCTCTGTTTCTGGAGTACCGTTTGGTTGGCATGAGGCTGCTCCATGTGCACCAGCTGTTCGATCCTGTTCTAGATCGTACCAACCAAACGCACCCTTACTCTCTCTCTCTCTCTCTCTCTCTCTCTCTCTCTCGCGCGCGCTGCCTCTCTCGCTGCCTCTCTCGCTGCCTCTCTCGCTGCCTCTGCCTCTCTCTCTCTCTCTCTCTCTCTCTCTCTCTCTCTCTCTCTCTCTCTCTCTCTCTCTCTCTCTCTCTCTCTCTCTCTCTCAAATTTGGGCACATAAAATGAATCCTTTTTTTGGCCATTTAATATCCGAAAAGTGATGAAATTGATTTAGCAGGTTTTGCATTCCAGCAAATACACACACAAACGCACACAAACACACACTATGCACACACGCACAGACGCACACACAGACACACGCGGTATCTGGCACTCTGTGACCAAAAGCATGATTCCGCTGTATGCTTGTGTGCATGTGTTACTACTGTGCAGGGTTTCACCATCGCAAACTGCTCGCAATCCCAAGACATGAGGTGGAGCCATTCCGCTATCCCAAGATCAAGTTTATGGTCTTCAACGGCATTCCAATACCACCGAGTCAGCGTCTAGAGATGGGATTCATGTACAGTTTGGACAAGAACAACTTTGAGGTCTGGACCAGTCTTGCATACAAGCAGATGGGCTTTGTTGATGTTGAAGCCAAGCAGAATGACCCGTACACTATGGGCATAGTGGAAGGTATGTGCGTGTGCCTGTGAGCCAACATGACAATCTTGAACAGGTGCCAACCTGATCTCTGTGGAAGTGCTCGTATTGATTCCATTGTGTCGCGGTGGCTCAGTCTGCTTCATAGCAATGAGTGTAAATGGCGGGCAGAGGAAAAACGGAACTCGAATTGTGACCATCAATGGTGGAAACGATCATACTCAGCACAGCAAAAAAATTTCGATTTGCGCATCACTAGCACTACGTTTGAGAAACATCACGATGATTTCTTGATCGACACTTCATGTATCGATCTGTACCTGGTTCGTTTTGGCACTCCTGCTCAACACATCGAAGAGAATAAAAAATTAATGTCCTTGCATGATGTCCAGTGTGCTCAGAGCTGACATGCACATTGGGTTCAACATACAGATACAATTTTGGATAATTAGAAAATACACAAGGCAGAACAACAGAGACCAATATCTTTTTCATGACTACGAGTTTCGTGTTTAAAAACACTCAGCAGACGATTAGCAGGTACGGTTAGAAGTTAGAAGTCAGGGTTAAGTTAGAAGTTCGAATGGGTTAGAAGTTAGAAGTTAAGGTTAATTCGAAGTTACTGCTCGGGAAATCGAGGTTAGAATTATCAGTAGTATTATATAATGTATTTTTACATGCATTCTCTCGTGTATGTGTGCGTGTTCATGTGCGTGTGTGTGTGTGTGTGTGTGTGTGTGTGTGTGTGTGTGTGTGTGTGTGTGTGTGTGTGTACGCATGCACATGTTTGTGTCACGTGGCGTGGCGTGGCTCTGCCAATCTCTTACTTGACTATCTTCAGGCACCAAAATAGTGCACCGGTATCAGCAATGGCCGATCCGAAGCGCCGTGTCGTTTCACAATGGCCATTGCATCATGTTCGCAGACCAGGAGGAAGCTGGGTCGCCGACAAGCAACTTCCTGTGCGTGGAGGACGATGGCACGCCACACGGCCTAGCGTCCTGGATGGTTCTCTACCACGGGCTAGTTAACTATACTGGTGCATTAGGTACGTTGCCAGGGAGCAGCGCTCTTGCTGGAGTATAGGCAGCGACTGCGAGCATACGCACACGCACGCACAAACGCGCACACACACACATATTAAGCACAAATAGTTGCACACACACGCTCGCGCGCACACACACACATAATACAAATAGCTGCACACACACATATTAAACACAAAATTAATTAATAGTTGTGTTATCGCCTTCTCCCCCTGCCCCCCCCCCCCCACCACACAACAACGCAAATGACTTGATAGAATCAGAGTTAGAAGTAAGAATTCGCATGTAATATGATCAAATACCTGCTGAACTCTGATTGGCTGAGGGCGGCTAACCAATCATTGCCAAGTTTAGAGCCAGGATAGGCTATAAAAGTAATTTATAATCAACAAACGGCAAGGGCGCAGGAGGAGAAAAAAAGGCACCAAGGAACAACAAAGAACAAACAGAACACATGATCAAGACAACCAGACCACGGACGAATCACTCATCACTCTCACTCCCAGACCAAACTAGCATTGCGCATGCACGACACTCACTTGACGATCACTCTCACACAGACGGAAACAGATTCTCACACTCTCTGACAACGCGTACTCTTTTGCTTGGACCATATACCATATGCATCACACATCACACCATGCCCACACATACACTAGACTGACCATAATGAAATCGGACTCTACAAGACTAGAACCAAATACAACACGCGCAAATGATACTCTAACCAAATTACCCAAAACACACACACACACACACACACACACACACATCAGACCAGACTCTCTGGTGGACAAAGGTCACTAAAAAAATGAATTTGCTTGCAACATGCTGATTTGAACTTACAGCTGATGTTAATTTAGTGTAGTGCCCAATTCCGAGTGTTTCATACAGTAGACACCCTGTTCTGCGTTCTCTTCAGATATCTTCTTCAAAACGAGTGGCAGCCCTCAACACGTGGGTAGTACACCGACAATCCACGTCATGACCAGTGCCTACAAGTCTTTTGCCATAACCAACATCACCTCCGGACTGTATCTGGTCAAGGTAAGAATCAGTGTGCACAAGCTACAGTTGTCATATCTGCGGCCGGGGCAGCATCGGGATATGCCGCACCACATCTTTGAGGCAAACTGACACATTCCCACACTCCACTTCTGTGTTTGCTTGCATGAAAATGAATTGGCGAAGGCCGCAGCTACGCGTTCGGCCTGGTGTTGCGTAAAAGAAGTGCAACTGACCCCCGGATTTACGGTATTCTCTCTGCATCTTCTGTGTGCGTGCACGCGTGTGTGCGTGCATGCGTGTGTGTCCTATCTGCGTGGTCATGTGCTATGTTCAGGTTGCACCAGCCAAGAAGATCCTGTGGCACAACGACTTTGATCTTGTCGACTCGCTGGTTGAAGAGGCGTGTGTGAATCTCACAGGAACCTATCCGGAGGTGGTCAGTGTAGCCATGGTGCACGGATCACTCAACGCTCCACCAGGTTCTCTATCAGCGCCCGTGTTCAGTATGAGGAATAGCAACGGTGCAGTGAACAACGTCGACATGGTACACTGCAAGCCGCCCAAACCGCCGTGCCGCGATTGCTTCACAACCGCCGCACCTACCACTACGCCAGCGCACTCCGGTGCTGCTGCTGTGGGGAAGCTCATCCCGAGCTGTCCGCTACTAGCGCTGCTAACGTGCAGTCTTTGTGCATTCCTAACGACCAGTAAGCATTGGTTGTCAAGGTAACCCGCACTAAGCTGCCTGCACAGCATTGATAGCAGAACGGTGCATACTTATACGTCAGCTTGATTTATGTAAGGATATCGTTTTTTTGGTTTCCCAATTTTCGTTCCTGCCAACTTCATCCACCGCTACAATCTACACACGCAACCCTTACACGGCTGTGCTACGACAGAATGCAACCCTTACACGGCTGTGCTACGACAGAATGCAACCCTTACACGGCTGTGCTACGACAGAATGTACATTCTAATCGACGCTAGTTCTTGAGATTATTTTCTAAACTAAAGTATCCGATTTCTGTTGACCTGTTGCATATTTAGAAAAGGGTATTTTCGGCTAGGGAGAGCATGCATGCAACCGGATTGTTTTCAACACGATATAAAACAATATATTTTACGTTATATTTTACGCTTTTTTTTCTCACTGGTTGCGGCCGGCAGCCTGGTGGGTGAGCAGGATTCCTGTTCTTGTTTCCCTTATGCCGCATTTTTCTTGACTATCCCCCTCTCCCTCCCCCCTCCCAACACACGTACTACACATACCGGCGGCATTGTGATTTGTGTACTTATATTCTGTGCAGTGAGATCCTAATGTTGTCCATTCCATACGCGGTGTGCCCATATGTGTGTGCCTCGTAAAACAAAAACAAAAATAGAAAAGAGAATTGGACAGCAACGCAATTTCTGAGACCTCCTATAACCAGAAAAGTGAAAGGTTTTACAATGGTAGCAGCCTAAATAACAGGGAGTATTTTCAATACTAGGTGGAGCAGGGGAAAGGAAAGAAAAGGGTCAAGCAAGGTGCAGCAAAAGTTGATTTCAATATGGAAGGGAAAGCATCGGGAAAAGGTGGGGCAGCAGTATGTACAGGGGGGGGGGGGGGGCAAATACAATAAACTGTTATGTACAAGGAGTGGTAATATGGGGAGAAAAATATGTACAAAAGAGACAGAGACAGACAGAGCGAGAGAGAAAGAGGGAGGGAAGGAGAGAGAGAGAGAGACATAGAGGAGACAGAGTATTGTACACATATCACACTACCTCTTCCTCCTCATCGTCCTCAACACGACCGGATTCATCCAGGCCTTCCCCACCGGCGAGCAGATCTTCCAGTTCTGCGTGTAAGTCCATCAGCTGGTCAAGTCCGCGGCCAAACGCATCCTACACCACCGACACGCACGTGCACGCACACACACACATGCACACATATGTAAACAACTACGTACACATATGCACACACACCTCAGACCTCAGACATGCCCATCGCAGAAGCGATGATAGCGAACAGCTATGTTAGACATAGCAACTTGTGCTGGGATTACACCATTCAACAGCTTGCAAGGCTGATGAATTGACCGCCACTAATTTTAGCCTGGTATCCACCACACAGCTGATTCAAGTGGCTTTTTCTGGCCAGTGAATCCCTATTTTTCATTTTTCCACAATACACACAATACATGGTAAATGTACGTACACAAACCTACACACAGAGTGAATGTTATCACACATCACACCATAATAGACTGACAACCACTAGTGGAAGAATATCGCACCGCTAGCCCAGATGTAACAACCCCCCCCCCCCCCCTGGTCTCCCGCATGTGAAAAATGAATGTTCAGTTGCGGTATGTGAAATACGGACAGGCCATGACATCCTGGACTCTCTGGTTAGCACATGTACACGAGGTTCTCAGAATCAGTTTGCGGATCTGACTTGCATATCCGCCTGGATTGCACGTGCAACTGTCCCATAATCACGCCTTAAAGTGCACTGGTGAAGGGCGGCACAAGTCTGTTCATGAGATTTCAATAATTTCATTGAGCAGGACTTAAATTACGGGACAACGTTTAAAAAAATGTAGCATGAGATACGACTTATGAAGACAACAAAGTCACACCTAAAGGTATGTCAGTGAGTGTGGGACATGGTGTCCATGCATACACGCACTGAGGACACCACACAGGACACGGGACTCTACACTCTAATAAGACAGCTCAGCTTTCCAGCACAACGCCTGCACAGCTCTCTCCGACGACACACAAGACACGCACCCGGGCACACACATACACGAGAACACACACGCACACACAGTGACACATACACACACAGTGACACACACAGTGACACAGACACACACACAGTGACACACACAGTGACACAGACACACACACAGTGACACACACACACACACACACACACAGTGACACACACACACACACACACAGTGACACACACACACACACACACACACACACACACACACACACACACACACACACACAGTGACACACACACACACACACACACACACACACATGCACTAGCACACTACACGGACACATATCTGACATGCAACGAGCAAAGGCTGGATAGTTGTTGATAGTCCAGTACCAGAGCGTACATACCTCTAGCTTCTCCTCCATTATTGGTAAGAAGGTTTCCATGATGAACATTGCATTCTTGCGAATGAAGTCATGCTAAACAATCCAAAATTACCACAAACATCAAAAAAAAAGCATGTCCGTTGAAATGCAGTGAAAGAGAATTAAAATAATTAAATAAACGTCAAGGGTCAAGTTCGTCAGGAAGTGCGTGTTCCAAGTAAGAACAGCCAACTTCATAAATGTCTATCTATTACTGTTACCAGTCTGAACAGCCATGGTATCTCAGCGGTGCTGGCCTCAACCTTCAGACTGCATTTCGCTGTCATGTACTTCAGTACATGTCACATATTCACTATACCACTCTTATCCAGCTGACAAGCATAAAACCCACTCTAATCCAGCTGACAAGCATAAAACCCACTCTAATCCAGCTGACAAGCATAAAACCCACTCTAATCCAGCTGACAAGCATAAAACCCACTCTAATCCAGCTGACAAGCATAAAACCCACTCTAATCCAGCTGACAAGCATAAAACCCACTCTAATCCAGCTGACAAGCATAAAACCCACTCTAATCCAGCTGACAAGCATAAAACCCACTCTAATCCAGCTGACAAGCATAAAACCCACTCTAATCCAGCTGACAAGCATAAAACCCACTCTAATCCAGCTACCAACTGTTACACCCACACTAGTCCAGCTGACAATGTTCTACAGTATTATGTTGTATATAGGATAACATACATGTTGCAGGAAGGCATCCTCCTCCAGCACAGACTTGATGTGGACAATTTGACATTCAAACAAGATACATAGGCAAGAGATGAAGGTGTCGTGAAGCTGCAGTGCACAAAACACACACACACACAAACACAGAGTTATGGTATATAAGGAAATACACACCATCACCACGATCTCCAATCAGCACAATCACAATCCTCATGACCATCAGCACAATCCTCATCAATACCATCAGCATTACTAGCACACTAGGTGGTTGTGCACACTGACTCACCGATGGAATGTAGATCTTCATGCCGTCTTGAATGAATGCATAGACACAGCGACAAAACTCCACCGTTGTACGTGCTATGTCCACCTTGCTACCGTCTGAATACAGGCAGAGGATGGACAAAGACAACAAAACATCAACAAAAAGCCATTGAAGATAGCCAGAGTTAGAGACAGACAACCTTACCTGATCACCAAGCCGGGCATCTTATGCGCCAGGATTGATTGTGGGCGACAGCATTGCATGGCTAATTTTCACGGTGTTCCCTTCTCCAGTCCCACAACGATCATCATGTCTTCACCCCACTGAACTCTAACATACTCCCCAGAGCTCCCGAATCACCTCAGTGCAGAATGTTTTGTTTTTGAGTTTCTTGTTTTTTCTTTCCTTTTTGCTCTTTTTGGTTGGTGCCTTTCTCGCTGATCCAGTGCGTGCACGCAACTCTGCCTGGCAGCTCCGATTCAACTTCTCCCCCCCCCCCCTGCAAGGAACGCTGCTGCTGGTCTATTGGCATAGCTTTCCGAACTAATCTGGAACTCACCCCCCCCCCCCCCATCTCTCTCTCAAGCTCTCACTCTTTCACACACAATCTCTCTTCTCCCCCCCCCCCCCCCAATGGTGCGTGGTGTGTGTCTTGATCCCGGGACCATTGGTCGCGGGAGCGCACTTCACCTCACCTGCACAGCTCTTATAAATTATAGCACCTAGGCACCCTTCTTAGTCCACCGTGTTCTTTGTTGTTGTTGTTGTTGTTGTTGTTGTTGTTGTTGTCCTTCATTCTACGCTCGCCTTGAGAGACGGCCGCGTTTTTGTTGTACCTTTTCAGTCGTGAAAGTATTTCTTAGTCGTTGTACCTCTTCTAGTTATGGATACTGGTATGGAGACGTCTTCTACACCGTCCAACGGCATAGTTGGAGTCCTGGAGAAAATCCAAGCCAGCACGCAAAGCATTGCTGATCGTGTGACGAGAATCGAGGATAGTCAAAGACAAAATCCTTCGACTGTGTCATTCCTTGGCACGTCCACCCCATACAAGGAGCAAAGCTCCAAATCATGGCCGGATGATACCAGTACAATGGAGGAACTTGAGAAAGAGACGGAAGAGTTGGACTCCAAAGGGGTCAAACTTTATCCTGTGTCCGACTCAACGATGAGTCTCTTGAAGTCGAATTTTCGTCCCGCCTTGCCGAATCCGAGCAGGCAACAGATTCGTGACAAGTTTGGTGCCCCAAACTGCCCACACTCGGCTTGTCCTGGACTTAACAAAGTCATGAAGTCCAGGATGTCCAATGAAACAAAGTCTCGCGACAAACAATTGGCGCGCCTGCAAAGTTCGGGCTTGGACGCCGTTGGTCCCCTAACTCGAGTGTTGGAGGGAGCAGAGAGTGGTGAAATCTCTGCTTGCGAGATACTGGAGGCTGTATAGTCAGCAGTCAAACTCCTCGGGAATTTGTCGGCCCAATGTAATCGGGAACGCCATCAAATTGCCCTCTCTAGTCTCAACCCCTGCATTGCAGATACGCTGACGACGATTCCATTTTCACCGAAGCCCGTCAACATTTGTTTGGCGGCGGCTTTTATAAGAAGGCGAAGGAGCGTGATGACGAGATGCGGGTGCTGAACAGCGTTGCAGCCAGCAAGACCCATACCCAGTCAGCTCCTGCCAAGTAACCGAGTGGTTTCAAGAGCCACCCGCCGGTTTTCCACCGGGACTTCCGCAATTCTCATGGAGGATCCAGGGGATGAGGATGATACCAGCCTTACGCCGGCAATTCGAGTTTCAGCCACGGCAGCAGCAAGAAGTCCTCGGACTGTGCCAAGTGACATCCAGCTCCAAGTCCAGCACACCCGCAGCATCAGCAGGACCAGAAGTGTCTCCTCATGAACCATTTGAAATAAATAAAAAGTCTTCCAAATATGTCTCAATCTCTGCTTATGGTGTGCCTGAAGGACTTGGGTTTTGTAGACATGGCTCAAAGCATAGCCCTACAGAGTCCTCAGCTCCCTCTGCAGGGAAGATACAACTTTTCATTCAAAATTGGAAAGTTCTCACATCTTTTACCCCTGTTGCACTTTCATAAACTAAAAATGACATCCCAGTACAGTCAGGCCTCGCTTATCCGGTCCTCGTTTATCCGGATCCCTCGCCATCCGGAAGAAAATAGTTGGTTACAAATGTACAGCATATGCCATGCTTACATACAGTATGTATGTTCGATTATCCGGTTCCCTCGCCTATCCGGATATTTTTGTGGAAAACGGATGTGTGCGGTTATGCGAGGTCTGACTGTACACACTGACCGTAGACTAGGTTCTTGAAGTCATCAACGCCGAACGCCTCCATATCAAAGATAAGCTGCGAGAGGCCTTCGGGCTTCTTGCTGAAGTCCAGGCATGCCCAGTCTTCCGCCTGCAGGCACAAACACAGCAGAATGGACGAGTCCGCATTACACCAATCGACACCCGATTTTCTTGCAACTGCAAGATCTAGTTTGAAGGTTCATTACCGAATTTCCCCCGAATATAAGTCTTACACCTTGTTACACTAAACTTCAGGGCCAACAAGGGGGGGGGGGGGGGGACTTACAATCAAGCATGACTTACTACTGAAGAGAATATACTGAAGCATTATGACATGGATCTGAAAATGAGGATGCGACTTACAATCAGGGAAATACGGTATGTGCACAACTGAGCATGATTGCATGTATGCGTTCACAGTCTAATCCTTCTCTACACTTGACACATGAACACCTTGCTAGTGAAACTATGCAGGCAGCAGAGCTACTAGTGTTGGATGTACTACATGTGCAGCATGTCAATCACTTACATTAGCACGGTGTCTAAGCTGTTCTACTAGCTGCTCGCGGCTGTCTCCCAGGCACAGAGATAGGTCAGAGAGGATCTGAGAGCGGAACTGGAAGGTCAACTCAAGACCCACGTCTTTTAACTGCGGAGGCAGATGCATAGCATACACACACACACACACACACACACACACACACACACACACACGCACGCACGCACGCACGCGCATGCACGCACACACACACACACACACACGTACGCACACGTACACACACACACATATGCAACAGGGGTAAAGGCAATAGTCCCGCAGCTACTAAATGTCCAACTTATTGTCACAAATCTTTTGGCAAAAGGACAAGCTAAAAAGAAGACTTGGCACATCCATGAAGGTGGTGAATACACACAATTACGGTACAACTGAAACCAGAATGGGACTTGGCATATAACACACATAACGGTTCGCGATGACCAGCACACACAGAGAGAAGTGAAGACAGGCTCCGAATTTGCCCAAACGGTTACGTCCTTGTTACTACTCACTTTGTCACAGTACTGTGCGGCGGTGTGGACACACTCAGCAACCACAGACAATGTGTTACCACCACCAAACACCTGAGAACCAAACCGTTGAACAAAGTCGCTGAGCTCGTCCAGGCACCAAACAACAAACGCTAAGTAGATAAGCAGAAAATCAAACATGCATACACACACATGCACAGACAGGCAAGCAGACAAACAAGCAGAAGGCCAGTGGGTTCTACGCTGAGCTAACGTAGATGCTACAAGCACAAACACACAAGCAGATGAATAGTACTGTTTTCTACACGTGTACAAACGTAGATTGTGTGTGTGTGTGTGTGTGTGTGTGTGTGTGTGTGTGTGTGTGTGCGTGTGTGCGTGCGTGAGAGAGAGAGAGAGAGAGAGAGAGAGAGAGAGAGAGAGAGAGAGAGAAAGAAAGAGAGAGAGAGAACAAACTGCACTTGTCTACATGACAGAAGACAGCTGCACACAATCGTGAATGCTGAGAAGTGGCTGCTGCTGACTGCTGTCCTTACCTGAAGCACTGTCATTGTTTTCCGAGAAAGCCTTCCGGAATTCTTCAGCTGCTTCAATTAGGCCAAAGAAGAATGTCGATGACAGGCGAGAAATGTAGAGGGATGTATTACCTTCAATTTTCAGTTGGCTGCAAGGGGAAGGAGAGGAAAGAAAAGCACAGTACTTGTACAACGATGACACAACAAGAGATCATCAGTCAATTGTTGCCAACATTCTCGGCAAGTCACCAGGTGTTTGCAGCGTTCAAAGTGAAGAAAAAAAACGCTCAAAAAGTCTATGTTGCTTGGAAATGCACTCTTACCCTCAACTGCAACACACACCACTCACCAGGTGCACCCCACCAGATAACCCTCCACCTGCAGGCATGCACACTTACTCCCCATTTCAACATGGTACTATAGTAGTGAAAAGAACTACAGTAGATTACAAAAATACAATACACTGTGACTAGCCATTGGCCTGTTGACATCCCCGAGACATACTCTACTGTTTTGTATAAAAGACTGCTTGGAACACAAGCCCTACAGGCTACACCCACCGTACCGGAAGTGATGGTCAATGACTCGGCTGTAGTTCTTTAGAAACAGCTCACATGCCTGCAACAACACACACACACACACATACACGTCCGCACATACACACATACACACATATTCACAGCACGAATACACACACGCACGCACGCACACACACACATGTAGCAATTATTTAGCAGGCATAGGCTACAAAGAGCAAGGCATGCTTCCCTACCTGGTGCAATTAATTGCTCTGGTTAGCGAGCACAAAGCCAAACCATAATTATTCAGAAAAGAGCTGGGGGCAGTTTTCACTCCAACATGCATATTCAGCTCTGTCTTCCTGTGAGCGGTGCACCTCTCCTCCTGCTGTTTGTCTAACAGAGGCAGAAAGAGATTACTTACTGAAATGTAGTATCATCAGCGTGGTTAGATTCCAAGATTCCAATACACAGCAGCAGCAGCTCACGTTGATGGTGTCATGAGAGAAAAGCATGGATTCTCCACATTGGCATACAGTAAAACCTGTCAAGGCGACCACTCGGATAAGGCAATCACCTGTCCTACAAGACCATTGAAACCAGGACCAAGGGATGCTATTTCCAGTCAAATGACACCGGATAAGGAGACCACCTGGTAACAGAGACCAGGTTTTGAAGGTCTCTTGAGCAGTGGTCGTCTTAGACAGGTTAAACTGTACTAGTATGTAGGCGGGGAGGTATTACTGCATGTAGTGCTGCCAACAGCAATTATTTGCCCCATGTGTGTTCATGGCAATACCAGTAGCTATGCGAAGGCAATGCTCCGTCTCTATGCATTGGCTGCAGTAGACAAGTGGCAGTGCTCACCTTTGCAGATCTGCCCAGCTTGACAAGCATGGCTACCACACGCCGTACCGCACTGGGATTGCTCTTGCCGGCAGTGCCTGACGCACCCTGCAGCTCCGTCACTAGCTGCTGGCAGACATTCTTCACTCGCGATTCAACACGATTCCTGCCAGCAAAAACAAGACACAACACGTGCAGGCGAACAGATACACAGATAGATGCATAGACAAGGACACATGACATCAGAATCTCTCTCAGCAAAGAAATGAAGCTGGCAAAAGCTAGGCATGCGCAGCAAGGGGTATGTGAAACACGACGAGAGCTAGCTCAGGACCCTCGCTGTGCTTGTTTCATTACCTAGGTCATCAGTCAGACGTAGTACGCCTGATCCCCATCACACACGCACGCACGCACGCGTGCGCACACACACAATAAAGCAATGATGTTATGCTGCAGCAATATTATATGATCAACACAAGAGGTCATGACATCATACTGCAGACTGGTGCTGACATTGCACACACTCACCGGATATCACGCGCAGCCTGCGAATGCTGGAAGTCGGACAAATACTCGGTGGCTGTCAAGTGTAGACAAGAGAGCAAAGCAAGTTTCACACTTGTCAATAGCAATAGCAGTAATCAGGTAATACATTCAAACCAGTGCCTCACCCAGCTACAGTGCCTCACCCGGCTACAGTGCCTCACCCGGCTACAGTGCCTCACCCGGCTACAGTGCCTCACCCGGCTACAGTGCCTCACCCGGCTACAGTGCCTCACCCGGCTACAGTGCCTCACCCGGCTACAGTGCCTCACCCGGCTACAGTGCCTCACCCGGCTACAGTGCCTCACCCGGCTACAGTGCCTCACCCGGCTACAGTGCCTCACCCGGCTACAGTGCCTCACCCGGCTACAGTGCCTCACCCGGCTACAGTGCCTCACCCGGCTACAGTGCCTCACCCGGCTACAGTGCCTCACCCGGCTACAGTGCCTCACCCGGCTACAGTGCCTCACCCGGCTACAGTGCCTAACCCGGCTACAGTGCCTCACCCGGCTACAGTGCCTCACCCGGCTACAGTGCCTCACCCAGCTACAGTGCCTCACCCAGCTACAGTGCCTCACCCAGCTACAGTGCCTCACCCAGCTACAGTGCCTCACCCAGCTACAGTGCCTCACCCAGCTACAGTGCCTCACCCAGCTACAGTGCCTCACCCGGCTACAGTGCCTCACCCAGCTACAGTGCCTCACCCAGCTACAGTGCCTCACCCAGCTACAGTGCCTCACCCAGCTACAGTGCCTCACCCAGCTACAGTGCCTCACCCAGCTACAGTGCCTCACCCAGCTACAGTGCCTCACCCAGCTACAGTGCCTCACCCAATTTCTCCCTCAAGTATAGACGATTAGAACTTCATTCCCGGGCTCAGTAAAGTACTGTTAGAGGTGCATGTGTACTCTAGAAATCCACACTGCCACAAGCTTTACTATACACTAGTATACAGTCACAAGAAAAGCACAACCATCAGGCCACTCTAAAGAGGATTGTGAAGTAAATCAATTAATTTATGAATAGACTAGTGCTGGGGAGCACAAATAGCCTAATAGGTAAGGGCTATGTCATGCTGTGCGGGCTGGCACACACCACACACACACACACACACACACACACACACACACACACACACACACACACACACACACACACACACACCACATCGTGCAAGTACCATGAAACCTACTCTTCTGGACCAGCTTCACAGCTGCTTCAAAATCCCGCTGAGCAAGGAACACATCTAGATCCTCTGGCACTTCCTTCAACCAGTCCACTGACAACAAATCCTACAAGTACAGGTAAATAAAACAAGAGGAACACAACCCAAAAGATAGATTACTTGTATTGGTGTAAAGACTACTTGTCTCAACAATAGTAAACAAAGGATTTGTTAACACAACGCAGCGGTACACCAGATTAACTGAAGCAACATTAACATTCCGTCTCTAACGACAGTGGCAACCAACACGAAAGGCTTTGCTCAGAATGAGAAGTTGACATCTGTGCCTGAGAACAAGCTATATTGGTCCACTATAGAACTGGGAGATGACGTAGGTAGAAGCAGAGCTGCCTGCGCCCAAACTAAGACTAGACCAAACGAAGCTAGTCATTACATTCAAATGTCCATGCACAACTCGAGATAATAATTGCCAGACTGTCATTACCTGTGTTTTCTTTTGCCCTTTGAAGCATCCAGCAATTCCGGACAACAGGACGCGTACATATGCACACACACACGCACGCGCGCACACACACACACACACACACACACACACACACACACACACACACACACACATGCGCGCACACACACACATATGCGCACACACGTGCACACACACACACACGCACACGCACACCCACACCCACACACGTGCGCACACACACACACACACACAAACACACACAAGCACACACACACACACGCACACACACACACACACACACACACACACACACACACACACACGAAGATGAGAATCAGATACAAACACAGGTAGGAAGAAGGTAGATATCATACGACATGGTTGGCCAGTGACCAACAACACACGCACAAGATGAGAAAGAACAAGAAAAAAGCAGCAATCGAGAGCAGACATACATTCACACGTAGACACTAGACACTGCCAAAGATACAGACTAGCACTCGACATCAAAGACAATGGACTTTTTGTGTAAGCACTTGGAAGAAATAAAAAATGTCACGGTTAGCGTTATCCGCAGTTTACTGAGTTTTCTGCATCCGTAGGAACGCCATCACACTCATAGCATCAAAGGCGCAGATGCAGCTCCTCAAGCGATGGGAGGTGAGTAGATCAGACCCACCAACAAGTGGTCAAAGACCGAAAACTAGGGGTGAAAGTTGGCATTGAGATCCCGAGTTCGAGTACTCTGATTTTCTCCGATCGAATATTCGAGAGTTCGAGCATTCTTCATCTCCTAAAAATTGCACACCGAGGGCCTTAAAATCACATGATACAACCTGATTGAACCGAGTGGCAGTCATTTTTTCTCTGGTATATTGGTTGGTGGGTCATTTGGGCTCTCACTACTCGTGAACAAATGCTCACCACACAGTATGCACATCAATATCTGCCGACTGCTGCTCTGAAACTGCAGATTTCTGTGGTAAATGCATGTACCATGTATGAACGAGTACTCTGATTTATCCAGAGTACGATTATTTCTGAAAAAACCGAGCGATCTACTCGAGTATTCGGTATAATTGTTTCACCCCTACCGAAAACCCTATTCACTGCGTCCATGCACAATTCGAGATAGGCAGGCTGCAGGCACAGAGGGAGGGTCTACAATGTAAGAGCATGATCGAGGAACAGAGGGTACCAGGTTCAAATCCTGCTTGGAAGCGGAAGAAATAAAAGAGAGACTCTAATATCAATAGGCTGAACCATGATGAAATCAGGGAATACAAAGACAGCAAACAAAGGCATGGGAATCTAGTGCATGAACACATGCCACTGTTTGATGCACACAAGTTCAAACAAGTTCAAATATGCTGTCAAACTAAAAAGTTCAAACAAGTACATTCCCAGTAGTTTGTACTGTCTGTACCTTCCGCTGCGTTTCGCTTCTGTGCATCTTCCATGTACTTGTGAATCTGCTTAGTGGAGTCAATGATCTGCAGCCATTCCGCCTTCAGACACAAACACAAGTAAATGAACAGACACACACACACACACACACACACACACACACGCGCGCACGCACACGTACGTACGCACACACACGCATGCACACACATACACATAATACACACACACACACAATACATATACATAGGGAGAGAGGTCTATGGTTTATATGCTCAAGTAGGTGTAAGACCAGTGACATGTGGTGGTTGACCCCATGTGCTTCATCCACATCAGCTGCTGTGATTGGAAACGAAAACAAATGGCGTATGAGCAGGACACAGCACACTGGTTTGGACCAGGACCAGGACCCACAACTATGCTGATGCTGCCTAAAGCGCAACATGCC